TTTCTTTACTTTTTACAATTTAATCCTACTACTTTTCCATTTTTAATGTTTCTAATTTACTTGTACATAATTTATTTTAAAATTTTGAAAGTTAAAAAGGGCAATAAGCCCTCCAAAAATTTGGGTATTATTAAAATTGTTTTCTAGTTGTGTGTTGACAAGATTTGACAAGTTTGCTTATAAGGTAGTTTTTTGAAAAGGCTATGATGGGTTGTATCAGGATTATCCTACGCTCCTCCCATTATGATTCATAAGTAATTAAATAATCTTAATAATTATTATGAGAGGAGGGTAGGCGTGAACCATTCATTAATTTTTATTTTTTAATAATCTTATTACGTGTATTTGATTACATGTAAGCCATCATTGTCAATTATATACATATAACCCTATAATCTAACACTAAATACAAGGTTAATAGGCTATGTACATTGATCATGAATGAGAATTAAATCACATACCATTCAGTTTAGCTGAATCTAGTCACCCTCCCTCCATACACCTTGTCTTAATAGATCATTCTTCCTGCACCTTGATAAAAGCTGCAGTTATCCCTGTACAGTGCTATAGTCCCTCAGTCCAACTCCAGGCTGTCCAACCATCAGACAAAGAGGAGGAAGGAGAGGGAGAAGGATAAAAAGGAACAAGTAAAAGATGGAGTGGATGAGCCAGATTGTGAAGTGAAATAAACAAGAGGTCCATCAAAATCTTCATCAGTCAGTGGCATAGCTACACCAGGCGAGTGATATCAGGGCCTCTGGTAGTTTTCTTCTTTCTGTCATGTTTTTAGTAGTTATTATAGTTAATTCCCTTTAATGAAATAATTGAACAATACCATAACAACAAAATTCAATCAACATCTACAACATACATGGATGCTTCCACAACAATAATTAAAATTTTGAGTAAGCACTCTCTGATTTACATGATCAAAGTAAATATGCTATAATGTGACTGCAGTGCAGTAAATATGCTGGAGCTTGTTCTCTGTCTAAAAAAATTCTCTGTCTCAAAACATTCACTAAGTTTTAATAAATCTAGTACATGCGGAAGCTTCTTCTCTATCTCAAAACTTTTACTAATTACATGTATATTCTCTTAATTTGTACTAGATTTATTAAAACTTAGTGAATGTTTTGCTTTTTTTACACAGAGAAGAAGCTTCAGTATGTTTGCTGCACTGCAATGAAGGTGTGGCTCAATCAAGCCATGCTCCACCATAGATAATAGAGTAAATGAAATGAAATTATAGTAATAGAGTATAAATGATAATAGAGTATTTCATTTACTCTAATATCTATGGCTCCACCCGCACACACAGTAATGGTGGCATGTGGCCATACATTTGTTATGCTCTATTTGTTGCATACAAACGTCTATTGAGTTCCTGATGTTTAAAGACTCTGGCCACTACTTCGGGGGAAGAGAGCCTCGTGTAAACTCACAAAATTATGACTTTTTGGGCTACCATATCTTTAAAACAAAGATGATTAGAGCAATTCCTCTCATATTAATGAAAGATGAGGCTTTGCTTTATTGTTCTATCTGCCCTTTTGCTCTTTTGCTCTCACTATGAAAGAGCTGCAGGGGAACCGACTTACGTTTGGCAACTTTGCCAGCTTCTTTATCCACCGAAAAAAAAAATATAGCATTCCTAAGACAAAGAATAACTTTTTCTAGAGCCAGTGTTGATTATAAGACTCTCGAGGACTAGACAAGAAAGCAGTGTCAGCTCAAAAGTGGAGGTCAAGCGAACACACACACACACACACACACACACACACAGGACGACTGCTTTACCCTCGCTTCCACACCTACGGGTGGGCTCGGGTAATAATAATAATTAATAATAGTCACTCACCAGGTGCCAGTACATAGTCAGTATACAGTCATAGTCATAGTCAGTATCCTCCAGTGAACTGATGCAAGTTAAGTACATTGTACCTCTCCCTCTTACCACTGCCCAGTACACTGGTGGTATACTGGTAATACGGAGACAGGAACTGGTCGCCAAGGTACTCTATATACATGTACTGCAGGACCAGGTGCCACTTGAAATAATTCTCAAGAACACTCGGAGAAATTAATAATAAGAATATTATTATTATTATTATTACTTACATGTACGTTTCATTATAATTGACATTAAATAGTGATAGGTTTTTAAAGTACGAGGGGTCCTCACATTAATTACAATATCATCAGACCCTACATGTACATGTACATGCATGTCTCCTAATTGAGCTGCTTTGAAGCTTTCAAGTATGTACAGAGTCCAATTAAACTGTAAACAACAACAACAATAAATAATAAACAATGCATGTACTTGGTCCAGAGTATTGAGTTAGCTAGTGCCATCAGGTTGTAAAGTTTATAAGTAGCTTAAGGATCTCTTAGGGCAACATTACTTACAGCAGGAAATTTTAGAGGGAATTAAATTTGGCAAACTTGGCGTTTTAATAGCCATTCACCAAAATAAAATCCACCATTTTGAGCCATTATACCCATGCTCAATGGCATGGGGCCACAAATTCACCAAATTAAAATTCACCAATCACCAAAATTTAGTAATTCACCAAATTTTAGTCCTTCCAAAATTTCCAGCTATACGGTACGTATACTGCACATGTACATGTACAACTCCATAATCTATTGATAACAAGTAAATAAAAAACATTAAAAATGGAAAAGTAGTAGGATTGAATTGGAAAAAAGTAAAGA